GTTTTAAATGATTGCAATGGTTAGCCCGCCTCCTGAAACCTAAGCAAACTGATTTTGGTGTTGTTCTGACACTTCGTTAATTTATGATGATTTTTTGTTTTCTCCATTGGAAACCATTAGACAGACCATCCAATGGTTTCCAATGGAGAAAATTCAAAAAATCATCATAAATTAACGAAGTGTCAGAACAACACCAAAATCAGTTTGCATAGGTTTCAGGAGGTGGGCTAACCATTGCAATCATTTAAAACAGCTTCCAAACATTGTAAGACACTTTTACAGGAGCGAAAACGGAGATCGTTGTGTGAAAATCCCCCATAGGAAACATCGCTGTGTGAGGCGGCAAATTTAACAGAAAAAGGCATCGTTGTGTGAATTCATCATTGTGTGAGGCACCCGTTGTGCGAGGCACCACTGTATTAGTGAGTTGAACCTCTAGCAGATCAATTTCTTCTCTGCCACTCACAACACCACATCATCTTGAGGATTGAGATGCAGCACCATTTCTGCACCAGGTGCTCAGCTGCAAGCTGCTGTTTTTCTCCACTTGTGTGTCCCTCACTAAAGCAGCTGCCTCCTGTTCTTGGGGGAAATGAATACCTGAGATGGGAGTAGGATGACCTTTTCTGGAACCTGAGGGGTTGCTATCGCCACACATGTTAAAGCAGAGCTCAGAGCACATCAGTCGGTTTCAAGTACAGTAGCTTGATTTCTTGGAGTTTGAAAGGACATTTCAAGGAACTGGTAGATTTTTACATTATAAATCAACGCTTCCACTTGGCACAAACTGAAAGACAGACTAAACTGGTGTGAAAATTTTATTAATATTTGTAGCTGAGAGTATAAATGTGAACTGTAGCTAGCAAACAGTGGACAGAAACTGGTCTAGTTTCTTGCAGCTGGAAACTTTGGATAATAAGGATGGTAATTGCATTGGGAAAGAGTGAGTGAACAAAGTTTAAGACTATGCTTAATCCAGTCACCATTTGGCATTCCTGAAATGGTGGATTATTCTCATAGAGCAATGATCCCCAACCTTAGGCCTACAGATGTTCCTGGACTACAACTCCCAGAGCCTTCACCACTACATCTGCTGGCCAGGATTTTTGGGAGTTGAAGTCCAAGAATATCTGGAGGCCCAAGGTTGGGGACCACTGTCATAGAGCACTGCGAATGCATATTTTCTATACTTCAGCACTTTTGATTTCAGATTGGAATGCAGAACAATTAAATCTCATTTATTTTAATAGAAACTAACTGTGTATAACACAGTGGGGCTTTCTGTGTGTGTGTGTTTTGGCTACTTGTTATATTTCTTGTGGGTTCTAAAAACTATGCAAGAGTGAATGAAGTGGCATATGCAGGCATGCTTTCCATTATACCTTTGGGATTTGTAGCTGGAGAATATGGAAGCAAGGGTTTGAACAGAATCTGTATCCACAGTATTCGTCATTGAATACAAGTACAATAAGAAACATTTCCTTAATTTATGCTGTGTTTTCCGATGACCTCAGAAAACCACTTGCCAATGGTGTGTTTTAGCCGACTAATAAAAGATGAGTCTTCCTTTAATCATTTTCTGTAGGTCATTTAGAAGACATTGGTAACAGATTTGTTTCTCTAGCACAAATGACTTGCAGAACAATAGACAGCTGCTAAGCCAGAATGGTTATCAACTGTCTGACTATGGCTTTCTAGTCAGTGAAGATTTAATGGACATGTTTTGCAGATTTCAGTCTGAATGTATTGTTTGGAAACTTTTTGAAAAGTAAACTTTTTATGGAGTGTTGTCAAACTAGGAAATTGCGTTTGTTGCCTTTAGATTGTGACCTATCTGGAACAAAGGCTACATTTGAAAAGAATTGATGTTTTCTTTGGGCAGAAGAAGGGGAGAGGGAATACCGATTGGTGAAATTACTGAGGAAGAAGAATGTATAAGTGCTCATGTCTAACTTCGCTGCATTGTTTTCACACTTTTTGAAAGTTGGCTTTCTCAAACACTTTCTTAATTTTTAATAACTGCAAGAGAAATTGTCTGTTCCTCCCTTGCTTTACTTTAAAACAGTTTGGAACATACAATTATCCAAATCTACCCTAAATACCTAGAGTGGAGTTGTGTATCATTATACAAATGGATTAAATCAGTCTACTGCAAGCTCTTCAAAGATTAGGATAACAAGGAGAATATCACATGTTTTTGCAACATTCACACAGAAAGATTCTGTGTTGGCAGTGTAATCTTGGGTGCATGTCATGCCTTTCTGTGGTCAAGGTGCAAATGTTTACCACTTGTTCTCTTTGGCAAAGGTTCCATTAGTTGCTGGCTGCAATATAGTCATGCTGATGTTTGCAGAAAGCTTTTTAAAGAATTATTTTATAGCACTTCCTACATTTTAAAAGCGCCCATTTTGATGTTTTAAAATGAGGCTTTTGTGTGTGTGTGTGCTAGATTTTTGATATTGCACTCTAATTTAATATAAGAGACCTAAGGTGGTATAATGCAGCAGTCCTCAACCTTGGGCCTCCAGATGTTTTTGGACTTCAACTCCCAGAAATCCTGGCCAGCAGAAGTGGTGGTGAAAGCTGGCAGTTGTAGTCTGGAGGCCCAAGGTTGGGGACCACTGGTATAATGGATAGAGTGATACACTAGGTCTGGGGAGATCTGTGTTCAGATTCCCACTTGGCCATGGAAACTAACTGGGGGTGACATTGTAAAAACACCCTTTACTTCACATACCTGGAAAACCCTAATAGGGTTACCATAAGGCAAATGTGACTTGGTGAACAACAGTGTAATGGATAGGCACAGTCTGTGAAAACCCTAATAGGGTTACCATAAAGCAAATGTGACTTGGTGAAGCATAATGGCAACAACAGTGTAATGGATAGGCACAGTCTGACTTTGTTTATAGTCACAGGTTTTGCACTCTGGAGGTCTCTAGTTCTTGGCTTTGGAATTGTTGTTAACCTCTTTGTGAGTTTCTATTTTTAAAATGTTTATATGCAGAGTGCTGCAGTAGCAGCCTATGTTTTCAAAGCCTAAAATGGCAAGAACGTAGGGCAGCTTTTCATGTCTTGTTTCATGACCTGGTACTTCCAAGTTTTCCATTTTGTAGGACCAGTTCAAATGCTGTATTCTCCCCGAATGAAAGTTGGTCTGCTAAATATTTGCATATCCCAGTAGTTTCTTGACATTTTATAAAATTTGCTTAGCATTTGCTGACTTGCAGTTACTGTATATGTATGAACAATTTCTTTGTGAAGTATTGTTTGTTTGAAGAAAGATGAAAGCTGCATTTGAAGTTGGGGTGGACGGAGGTGGCTGCCCCTATTCAAGTTGCCGTATGATGTTTCCGGTATTGAGGTGGCCTTTAAATGCTACAGAGGTGCTTGTGATTAAATGGACGAGGAAGAAACAGGAGTGAACATTGCACATCACAAACTTCAGGCAGCTGCTTGTGTTCACATCCCTTTTAGCTATTCTTATTTAGGGAAAACTTTGCAGCATCCAGCTTAAAGTTTTTTAAAAAATCTGGTATAAAATGTTTTTTTCATTAGTAAAACAAATCATTGTGTTAAAAGGACACAAATTTTAAATCTCTTGGCTAGAACAAATACGGCAATTTCCCATGGGCAGAGGTTCTGGAAAAGATTATGAAGCTCTCAGTTTACTCCTTTTCTTTCTCTGTGGTAATAGGAAAGCCTTAGAAACTAGGAGATATATAAAAGATTTTGACTGTTGATCTCATGATGAGGGCTGCAAAGTTTAGCTGAGGGACTAGATTAGTCAAAAAGTCCTTTGGCTTGATTAAAAGGTTTTAAAATAAACATTCCTATTGAACTGCATTGTTTTCGAAGAGGCTTTTCCCTTCCCTTGCAAACAGGAAAGAATGCCTCTTCTAGGATGATTGCGTGTCCTGGAATATTTCTGTCAGGACATGCTGGAGACAGTGTTCTTTTATTCATAAGTCTATGCAAGTTTCATCCATTAACATGCATCGCCATCATCATCATCACGTGCCGCCAAGTCAGTTGTGACTTATGGCGACCTTTTTCAAGATTTTCCAGATAAAGAATACAGTGGACCCTCTACTTAAGGAATTAATCCGTATTGGAACGGTGGCTGTAAGTCGAAAAGTCTGTAGGTCGAATCTCTATTGACCTACAATGCATTGAAAACTGATTAATCCCACAACTGGCAGTTTTTATTCTATTTTTGTTCCATTTTGGTTTTTTTTCTGGTCTGTAGGTCGATTCTCCGGCTGCAAGTCGAATCTAAATTTTGCAGCCAGAGAAGTCTGTAACTCGAAAAGTCTGTAAGTCGAGCCGTCTGTAAGTCGAGGGTCCATTGTACTCAGAAGTGGTTTACCATTCCCTTCTTGGGGAGGGTGCTCTGGGACTGTGCCCCTTGTCCAAGGCCGGCTCTACTCACAGGAGAGCACAGTGGGGAATCAAACTCCCAACCTCTGGCTCTGCAGCCAGATAGATACCTAAGCCACTGAGGTATTCAGTCAGCAACGTTCTTTGAATGCATTTTTTAAGAAATAAGAGTCCTAAGCATCTTTGGGCTCACTAATTTCTAAACTTGTGCTTACACACTCCTTTATGAACTTCAAACAATTTTAAGAATTTATTAGTTTCCCCCTTATTTGACTTCATCAGCAAGCATGCTTCTATGGTTAGATCTTCTTATGTATTGCTTACAGCATGAACATTCTTCCAAAAACAGAAAATGTGTAACAAAAGATAACAAAGAACTGCATCGTAGTTTAGAAATATAGACCAGAGCTTGTCCATAATTTTTTTAAATTAATGTTTCAACAAATAAATTCATTACTCAAATCCATAGCTTTTTAAGCAACAAATTAACTTTTCATTTGAATAGTTAAAACCAGAAATAACAGCATTTTATCATTTCTTACTGTACACATTAGGGTGATTTTTTGCACAGTCTAATACTTCTAAGTGTTACTTCTATGTTTTTGTAGTGTAAAAATTTAGTGAATTAATTATATGCTGTTCAGGTCTAACAGATGTCTTCCCTTAAAGACTGAAAGCTAACTCATTTAGTAACTCTTACATTTATGAAATATCCATGTGTTACACAATGATTTTTTAAAACTCAAATTGATTTAAATCACAATTTAAATTTAAAAATCACCAAAAATCTGGGTTTTTAAAATTTAAATGATTCATAATTTAAATCAATTACATTTAAATCAAATCTGCCCTGTTAAACATTCTAAATCAATCATCATACTGACTCTCAACTGCAGCAGGAAAGAATTTAATTACTGTACAGGGATTATGAACAGATAATCTCTATTAAACTGCAGATGAGAGCATCATTTAAATTTAAATTTAAGGATGTAAAGCATTTCTCCCAATATGCAGATAAAAACAATTACAGTGTGCCAGTTCATGCATCACAGTCTCTTGGCCCCCTGAGACGCAAGGAGAGTACGAATGCAGAGTAGCTTTTTAACATGTTTGTAGGAACTGGAGATGGGGGTATTCGTATATGAATGTTTGTGAAGTGCTGTTTTGCAGCAGTACTTTGTGCAACTGTGTGTATGTATTCCAAGATTTGTATATCTGTTTCATAAATTTACTGTATAGCTGCCTGCATGTCATCAGCATTGAATGATCACAGTAACTCTGCTCTTGTTTTGGGTATGACTTCTAGTTTATTTCAAAGATTGATTCCCGCTCCCCATTTTGTCTAGCAGGAGCAATTGTCGGCTCTTTTTTCTTGTTCCTTCCTTGCCTTTTCTAACTTCATTTCTCAAATCTTGTTCTAGGTTCAGTGGCATTGCAGGTCAAGGATGGTGGCTGGAGCCAATTTCTACATTGTGGGTCGAGATCCTGCCGGCATGCCTCATCCTGAGACTGGAAAAGATCTCTATGATCCAACTCACGGTGCCAAAGTGCTGACTATGGCGCCAGGCTTGATAACACTGGAAATTGTACCCTTCAGAGTGGCAGCTTATAACAAGAAAAAGAAATGCATGGATTATTATGATTCAGAACAGTAAGTTTTTTTGTTTTTTTGTTTTAAAAATAGATGAATGTCTTGCATTAAACATCAGGCAGGGTGTTTGAGGGATTTGGTTTTGCATGACAGCACATCTCAGTGGGTATCATTTTGTTTCCAAGTAAATTCTCATTTCCCAGGGCTGAGGTTCATTTCATTTTTGTCTGATTGGGCAGCCTATATTCCCCCTCTTCACCTTTTTTTCTTCCTCTGCTTGTTCTGTTTTGCGACCTCTGAGTGAACAAAACACACTTGAATCTTCACTGCTCTGAGGTCCTGCCACCCTGGGTGGCTTTGGAATGGCACCAAAGAGCATTCTTGTATCAATAGTACAACTTATTGTTTGCAGTGATAATGTAAGTCATGTTCCAATTTTTGTTTTGAATCTCTCCATTTGCATGTATAGTTTCAGGCTACATTTGATACTGTTGAACCATCCAACAAGCTTCTGGATGCATGTTTAAAATTTAGTATGTTTATAATTATGGAAATGTCTCTATGATAAGCTCATCTAAAGCCTTTCTGCATAAATCTTCAGTACTACATGGTATATCCTTGCTGTTTGGCTGTTTTTATGCAGAGTGCTGAATAGGGACATTACGCCTCTGCTGTGTGGGTTCTGCGAGGAGAGCACAATTTCCTTTCATTTTGAGAAAGAGGGGTAGCACACGTGATGTTTTTTTCCATTTGTACATGTGCTGCCTTTTAACACATTGCGTACAGTTTCATGACTTGAAAACAGACAACAAGGACACGTTTGTAGTCTCATCCTGCTGCTTTTTATGTATACCATTGAGGAAGATGGACTGTCTCTTTACTTTGTCTGACCACATACAGCATTTATATGCGCACAGTTTATACTGTACCACACATACAAAAGAAAATCTAGTAAATGGCGGAAGTAACGCTGTTGAAGTAACCTGGTTCTAGTCAAAAATAGTCTAATCAGTTTATTTTTTTTATTTGTTTGAAGTTTATTCATATCGTATCTATAGCCATCATTTAAAATTGTGCAGTGCTCCAGTATAAAAAGGGGACATGGTGGCGCTGTGGGTTAAACCACAAAGCCTTTGGGCTGCAAGGTCGTAAGACCAGCAGTTCGAATCTATGTGGCGGAGTGAGTTCCCATCACTTGTCCCAGCTCCTGCCAATCTAGCAGTGCGAAAGCATGTAAAAATGCGAGTAGATAAATAGGTACCACCTCGGTGGGAAGGTAACGGCATTCCGTGTCTAGTTGCACTGGCCACGTGACCATGGAAACTATCTTTGGACAAACGCTGGCTCTACAGCTTGGAAACGAGGATGAGCACTGCCGCCTAGAGTCGGACATGACTGGACAATTGTCAAGGGGAACCTTTACCTTTCCAGTTAGTACAAATGAAGAAAGTTAAATCTCACCACATGACCTGCAAGTGCATGAGCTGGACAGAAGTCACTTGTGTCAGTTTCACTTTCTTACAGCTGACTGATTTTAAAGCTTAAGTGAACGTAACATGGTGATGGTTATGTTGATGATGGTGATAATCTTTACTGCTGAAAATAAAAGGAAAAAAGGGAAACCTATAAGCATACAGTTGTATTTTGTTTGCTCAAATAGTTCCTTCGCAAACCAAGTCATGTTCCCTTACGTTGTGGAGGCATTTTGCATTATGTTATGTCTCAGCTCTGAGAACAGCTTTCAGCAGAAAGGCAGGGAGTGCTGTGAGACAGATAGAATCTCAGTAGAAACACCTGAACTGTCCAGATCAGCATCTAAGAATTCCATGCTTTATCCTTCCCTACTTCTGGGGCTATCCTGGGACTGTGCAGCTTAACAAAAGCTACCAGGAGATACATGGATGAACTGAGCTCCCAGTTTCTGGCCAACATTACTGAGCTATCCATCTAAAAGGGAAGACTTACCTGTCTGTCAAAACAAACAATTGATCAAGGATGCAAATTGCACTGAAAAGTTGTAGAATTATTTGGCTTCTGTTGGAATGCAGAATTTGGTGTTGAGTTATATATTGAACTTGACTTTCTGACTCTCAATGTTTCCAGCAGTAAGAAATGGGATTTCAGAGTTGCTTATAACTCCTCAACGTAGACGTCTACGTTGGCTTGGGCATGTCGTGAGAATGGCTGCTGGTTGGATTCCAAAAGATCTCCTGTATGGAGAATTAGTGCAGGGAAATCGCCCCAGAGGGAGACCACAGCTGCGGTACAAGGATATCTGCAAACGGGATCTGAAGGCCTTAGGAATAGACCTCAACAGATGGGAAACCCTGACATCTGAGCGTTCAGCCTGGAGGCAGGCGGTGCATCACGGCCTCTCCCAATTTGAAGAGAAACTTGTCCAGCAGGCCGAGGCGAAGAGGCAGTCCCGAAACCAGCAAAATCAGGGAGCTGGACAGGGGACAGATTGTATTTGTCTTCAGTGTGGAAGGGATTGTCACTCTCGAATTGACCTTCTCAGCCACACTAGACACTGTTCCAAGTCCTCCATACAGAGCACGTTACCATAGTTTCTCGAGACCGAAGGATGCCTAATCTAATAACTCCTCACGTATGAGTAGAAAACCTATTAAGCAATGATTATGCAAATTTATGTAATTTATGAAATATATACAGAAACTGAATTGCTAATCCATAGAATGATTTTTCTGAATGCATCTTTTCAAATTAAAGCTGTATAGTGCAGATTAATGCAGAACTGTAGGCTGTGGGCTTGGAGGGCTTTTGTGTGTGTATCATACTTCTTAATAATAGCAGTGATATTTCTTTTATTTGCTTTATATGGCATATCACTGACATATGAATTAGCACTCTGGATGTTTGGCATGTGGATAAAAGGTGCTCAAACATATCCCTAGGCATGACTTGGGCACTTGCACACAGCAAGTTTTAGTTCTGCAGTAATTGAAACTGAAGCCTAGTTTCCAAAGCAATTTGCCTTATCGCTCCGGCAGCTCTATAAAAAGAGAGCGCTTTAATTTCTGCTTGAACAAAGGGGCTGGGTCCCCGGTTGGTTGGCCTGAAAGTGCATATTACCATGTTGTGTAAATAAATCACTGTCAGCTCTGGCCTTTTCATCCACGAGACATAGTGGTGGGAAGGCATATTGTTGTGCAAAATCTTCCAAGTGGTTCTCAATTAATGAGGCTGTAGAGATGTGTTTGGTGCAGCTGGACTGGAAGGAAGATGACTGGTAACATATGAAAGCAGACCTCCTATTTGCATATGGTGTCTGTAGCATGCAGCACAGATGTAGGGTGAACCATTCTGAGAAACGGGTGTCTTGGGAGCTGTGCTTCAACTGCCCCGTCGGAGGGAATTCATGCCAGCCGCCCAGGCTTCACATACCCAACTTGGCGCTCCAGCGGAATGTAAGGCTTTAATTGATTTGCTTTTTTCTTTTAATCAGAAAGTCAGAACAGAACAAACTCGTAGGCTTTTATTGTTCCATCTTCTTTGCCAGATAACAAATATAAATACCATCATTTGAGGAATTTTTGATTAAATGAAATAGAACATGAACAGTTTATGGCCAGTAGAGACAAGAAGTATTTGTCTTGTTTAGGCATTCTGGCTTTCTTGTGGTTAGAACTATGGAGAGCAAGAGCAGGTGTTCTGGCCATGTTCCTTCTATTGCATAGGTTCCCAAACGTTTTTGCCCCGTAGACCACTTGCCGACTTACTTGTTTTCCATAGACCCCCTATGCAATTGTAACAACTACAAAATATGTATAAAATTTTGTACTTACTTTTCTTAGGCACTCCTAAAGATGATTTTGATTCACTTGACTTTTACCTATTTTCTATCTATATTTTTGAATGTATTTTTAAGCCACTTTTCTTCTGAAAACTCAGAAAGCAACTGAATGTCTCTAACACTCCTATTTATCAATTATGAATCAAACAGGTCTGTGCAAAGCTTCGATACAAGTCTAAAAAAGTACTGTCAGCCAGCCCAACCTTCGTACGCACGAGATGTGTGTGGCCGTATAGCTCAGTAATGAGAAATGACAAAATGTTGTCTATCCCATTTACAATACACCAACATTTACCATAAAATTTTACCAATAATTTTACGAACTTACACATGAATGAGGCACATCACAATACAGATGGTACATAGTACAGTGGTGCCTTGCTTGACGACGATAATCTGTTCCAGCAGAATCACTGTAGAACGAAATTGTCGTCAAGCGAAAGTAAAAAACCCATTGAAATGCATTGAAAACTGGTTCAATTTGTTCCAATGGGCGAAATACCTCATTGTGCGGCGAAGATCCTCCAAAGGGCGACCATTTTCCCATGCCTGTTAAGCGAGGAATCTGTCCTAAACACAGCGGGGAGCCATTTTGAGAGCCGCCGATCAGCTGTTTTAAAATTGTCGTTTAGCGAAGAATCGGTTCCCGAAGCAGGGAACCGATCATTGTAAAGCAAATTTTCCCCATTTAAACATCATTTTGTGATCACAAAAACCTCATTGTAAAGCGGATTCGTCGTGAAGCGGGGTAATCATCAAGCGGGGCAACGCTGTACCTAATTAAATAATATTATGAAACAGAGAATCTGTGTTTGGTGTAATTATGGATTGCCTAAATATTTATTATGATAGACGTAGACCCCCATTTACATCTCATGCACCCCCAATTTTTTCTCTCTGATGTGGATCCCCTACAAGTTGAAATCGACCCCTGGGGTCCATATAGACCGCTTTCAGAACCTGTGTTCTATTGTATAGAGGCCACATCACCATACACTGGAGAGGGAAAGACTACAGTTTGAAATTTGATGTACCATATCTTTGGAAACTTTTTTTTATTACAGCTCCAGTGGTTATGCTAGCTGGGGCTTTATGGAATTAGTTTAAAAAGTAACTTTTTGTAGTTTGAAAAGTAACCTTTCTAATTCTGTGGTCTTTATATATATAGGCTTCTACACATAGACTGAAATCCATTAGTAAGTTGCAAATAGAGTAGCCCAATTGAATCAAGGGAACTTACAGGAGT